ATTCGCACCACTATACAGTCGTGTGTTGTCTGTAAGTCAGTCAGTACACACTAAAGTGACGTCACATAAGGGACGTTTAACGTTGCAAATTTGTACTGTCGTGACATCAGTAAAACGTGCGCATGCCATGAATCACGAGAAGAATTATGTACTCTGTAGGATACAACACAGCTTGACATATGAACTTCAAAAGGAAGAAATAAAATATTTGTTACTCTTAATTTTGCTTTTATTTACATCTAGTTGGTAGACTGTATATATTATCAGTATGAACACTTACCCGTTGCCCGAGGATTTTTTTACACACCTGAAAGAAGAACAACAAATAAACTTTAAGTTTTTTTTTACACATATTCAGATTACTTCTAAACAAACTAAAAACAATTGCTTGGGCGAAGGTACAACAAACAGTATTTGGTATATAAATGTGGCTATATATACTACATAAATATTCCTTGACTTATGTATTAATTGCCAACATGAACTAGATCAAATCGACAACGTTAGTACAGATGTAGGATGATTCGCTGAATCTCTACCAAGTGAGCTGAAATTTATACTACAATTTACTGAGATTTTGAATTATTTCTAACAAACTACTCAATTTCTTCCTTTGGCCTGCATATTTTAAAGATAAAATCATTGTTTTGTATACGCACATTATATATTATTTATAATTGTACGAAATATCTATTGTCAAGGTCTGCTTATGCTTTTACATGCTCTTAAGTATCTATTGTCAAGGGCTGCTTATGCTTTTTACATGCTCTAAGTGTCTATGGTCAAGGTCTGCTTATGCTGTTACATGCTCTTAAGTGTCTATTGTCAAGGGCTACTTATGCTTTTACATGCTCTTAAGTGTCTATTGTCAAGGGCTACTTATGCTTTTACATGCTCTTAAGTGTCTATTGTCAAGGGTTGCTTATGTTGTTACATGCTCTAAAGTGTCTATTGTCAAGGTCTGCTTATGCTGTTACATGCTCTAAAGTGTCTATTGTCAACGGCTGCTTATGCTGTTACATGCTCCAAAGTGTCTATTGTCAAGGGTTGCTTATGCTGTTACATGCTCTAAAGTGTCTATTGTCAAGGGCTGCTTATGCTGTTACATGCTCTAAAGTGTCTATTGTCAAGGGTTGCTTATGCTGTTACATGCTCTAAAGTGTCTATTGTCAAGGGTTGCTTATGCTGTTACATGCTCTATATAAATGTAAAACTTGTAACAGCATTAGCAGCATTGCCCCTGACAACAGACACTTTAGAGCATGTAACAGCATAAGCAGCCCTTGACAATAGACACTTTAGAGCATGTAACAGCATAAGCAACCCTTGACAATAGACACTTTTTCTAGGTCCGGTATCTAATGCACCTGATATTATATCACGATCGTCACGTGCTTTACACTTACAACAACTTCTGTGACAACTCCACGTGCTGCAAGTGTACAAGACAACAAAACACTGTATACGACGTTGGGTAAACAGTGTGATAGTTAAAATTAACTACAGGGTTTTAAAAAAAAGGTATTTTCGAAATTTTGCTACATCTCTTCGATATTAGGGAAATGTTTTAGCTAGATACTGGCTTCTTATTGTTCGGATAATTATTAGAACCAAAAAATATGCTAGTTTTGTAGCTTTAGTTACTGGCTTCTTATTGTTCGGATAATTATTAGAACCAAAAACTATGCTAGTTTTGTAGCTTTAGTTAGCTATCAACACAATGGGCTCATATCGTTTAAGAATATTTCTTAATATAATAATAATAATCACACTAGATTAAAACCACATATTAATTTCGTATGGTACTTTTGTACTTAATTGGCCAATAATCATGGACTGTCAAGATACTGAAATAACAAAACCCTAGTTACAGCTCAAGAAACGATTACTTCTTGAATATCCCTGATACGTAAAAAAGAGCCACGAAAACATTATACAGTTTAAGGAAGTGATGCTAGTCTGTGAGTAATTAAATAGAATGAACTGTCGACGAACAAAAAACTTACCGTTGGAACAGGAGGGATAGTACCGTTCAACTGTTGAGAAAAATGTCAAGTTGGAGATTATTGAAATTGTTGCAATTTTTGTTTCTGTTTAACTCGCTTTGCGTTAAATTACTTTCTGAACAAGAACAAACCTAATATTTAATCAAAACAAACGTATATACAAATGTAAGCTAGTTTCAGTTAATTACTGTTAACGTATTTTGAAAATTAATCAACAAAGTTGAAAACTAATGAACAGCGGTCATAATGTTGTTTGCAAAAGAAGGTGAACAGAGAATTAAAAACACGTCAGTCGTTTTACATCATTAGTTGGATACTCACGCTTTAAACAATATTTTCGGATATTTAACATCCCGCTTATTTTATTATTTTCCCACTATTCTATTTATTTATTTTAGGAAATGATAAATAAAAAAAAACACATAGAAAAGGATAAACTGATTTCTCACAACAATGGTTCACAAACTTAACAAAATGATTATCACGATAATTAAAGGTATTGTATTTGATATACTTTACAAACCACGAGTTTTTCTTACGATATCCAACTAACCCTAAACACATCCAAATGTTAGGTTTAGTGCACGGATGGAAAAGAAGGTTAATACATCACAATAACACTTGTTATGATGTGAACGCCTTTGTTGGCTAAGCATGATTACAGTCAATGACGCTTGTCTTAGGACAACAGTATTAAGCTTATTCTATTTTAACACTACATTCTTTATTATGGCTTTCCTGAGAAGAAGAATGTATAACTATTATTTTGATCACGTTATGTCCGCCACGTACAAAAATATAGTTTTTGTTATAATAAATAATTAAAAACAACGTTTTATATTTACACAATAAGACCTTTATTGAAGCCGTACGGCTTCCACTTGAAAATATCACTTTACAAGTACATGTTTCGACGTGATCTACGTCATCCTCAGGAATAACTTACAAGACTATTTTGTACTTCCCCTTGTCGCATTAACAGATAAGACAGGTATATACAAGATAGAATGTGAATGTGGTAGTGTTTATATTGGTCAAATTAAAAGAAATTTAAAACATAGATTGCAAGAACACAAAAGTTACATAAAAAATAATAAAATAGAATTGTCGTCTATAGCCGAACATGTAAAAACTACCCAACATACAATATTATGGGAAAAAATTTTAGTTTTAGCTCAGCCTCGAAGTTTTATATTGTTACGTTTCTGTTTGTTAATTGATTTTCCGTAACTTCGTTCCGACGAAACTTAAGCGACACAAGTCCTTTCTTAATAAAACTGGTT